TTTACCAGCCTACTAGTATCCGTGGAGATCCATAGGGGGTCTCCGCTACACGTGAACCATTAACATTAATAATCTGATTTCAGGGCCATCCACATACCTCATTCGGTATGGGCGTCAAAACCATGAACCTCAATACCTCGTCCAGTATAAGGGTGAAACGGGCCGTCTCCATACCCCGTTCGATATGGGCACCAAAATCATAAACCTCAATACCCCGTCCGGTATGAGGGTAAAACGGGTCGTCCCCATACCCTGTCCGGTATGGGTGCCAAAACACATAAGGTCTCCATACCTCGTCCGATATGAAAGACCACGTTCTCGGTAGGGTTCCCTACGGATCCGGTCCATCCACCATCTCCCAGGATATCTAGTCAGACTGACCACATTATCCATTTATCAATTCACATAACATTTTTTTCATTCTCCTTAGTCTCAATTTTCCAATCATACACAAACACGTAAACCAATAATGAACACCAAACAAAACAACACAATATCGGGTTCACCATAATTTAAACCATAATAAAAGAAATCATGATTCATGAATACGAAACCATAAAATAAATACATCAAATACCATATTGTATTTAAAACTATAAAATAGATCAAACAACAACTGACCGACAATATATCATATTCGAGCTCTATTAGCGACCTTAAACAATTATACACATCCATTAATTCACGAAAATACTGTTTTATCATTTATTGAACTTTAATACCGTGATAGAAAAATAAGGTGAGAAATCCTTACCTGTTTCGGGGTCTGAAATCAGCTGTACAGTGCATCTACGAGCTGTCCCTAAATTCTCTGAATTTTCTCTAGAAAACTGAAACGTACTACCGGTACCTGCACGTGTCCCAAAAAACCCCAAATCAGACCCAGGGCCCCTTTTAGGCCAATATCGAAATTTCGACGCGGCGGCTCTGCCGTGCTCCAACGACGGCACCGCCGCCTGCGGCGGCGATCCGCCTCGGGTTGGCCGTTTTCGGTCGAATTCGGTCAAACTTGCATTGGTTCCTGCAATAAAATAATCTTAGGGCCCTCGGTGGGCCAAAAAATCACAAAAAATGGAGACTTACCGGCGGCGGAGCTCTCGGGTGCGGCGGCTTCTCCGGCGCGAGTCGCGATTTGATGTTTTGCTCCGGTCAACCTGTAGAGAAAAGGACCATGATCACAGTGGTGTAAAAATTGCATCGAACGGGAACCGAAAAGGGCCTCATCGGAGGCAAAAATCGAGGGAAGCTGCGACGGCACCGCTGGACTTCGGCGGTATTTTCTGGCCAATTGGCCGGTGGTTTGGCTCCGATTTGGTCATAGGCGGATTCAGCATCGAAAAACGAGCCAAGAAGAGAAAATTTACCTCGTTTGGCGGTCGAAAAATTCTCCGGTGCGGCGGCGGGTGGCGGCGGCCGGCTCCTCTGGTGACTGGTTCTTCTTCTCCGGCGAGGGCACTAACGGCTAGGGTTTGGGGTCGGGTGTGGGTGAGATTATTTATAACATTTTCCTTTTAATCTCAGCCGTCCATTACGATTTAATCTGGATCGTCCGATCGCAATTAAAATGGGAATAAATCTGGGTCGTCCATCGCGATGCAATCTGGGCCGTCCGTGCGTGATTCAATCTGTACCGTCCGCACGCGTGAGATCTAGGCCGTCTATGCGCGTGAGATCTGGGCTGTCGGCACGCGTGAGATCTGGACCGTTCGATCGTGTGCACACGGATCGCCCACGTGGCTCCGTCCCGCGTGGCCTCCCGCGTCAGCTTTCTTGCCACGCAGCGTGTTTTGGTTGGCCGGGGCTGCTGACGTGGCACAACTTTCTTAAATTACGTTTTGATCTCCGCTTTCTGATTTTCTTTTCAAAAATACCCATAAAATCTAAATTTTTAATCATTTTTCCCAAAATCAATTTCAATTAAATCCCAAAAATAATTTTACCCTATTTTATCATTATTATTATTTTTATTTTTATTAAATTAAATTAAAACTTTATAAATTAAATATTAAAAAATTAAACTAAAATTCTGATATAAATTAAAAAATAAAAATAATAAATTTGGGTGTTACATGGACAACCTAATTAATCACTTACATATTTATTACATATTTTTGTCTACATATTGGTAAAATAACTTATTAATACTAACTAAGCGTTTTTTGTATCAACTAAAATACATAAACTGATGGATACAATATAATATATTTAAAAATATATAAATTTTTAAATTTTATTTACAATGAAAGGATAGTATTCACCTATAATAAGTTGATAAAAAAATAATTATGGTATATTTATAATTTTGCCGCTCTCTAGATATATAAAAGAAATATTAGATTTGCATTCTTAAATTTTGAAATACTTTTTTAAACAAAAAATTAATTTATATATATAAAGAAATATAAAAAAAATTGTCAAATATTAATTTTTATATTTTTTAGAAAATATTTTTAAAATAAATTAATATGATAATATATAATTTAAAATTTAAATTTGTATCTAATCACAAAGAATTTAATTATATAATTTAATAATAACTTAATGAAAGAATTTTATTATAATTTAATTAAAAATTATAATCGATTTTTGCTACTCATATATCTCAATTTAAACAGATATGATAAATTTTTAATCAAAATAGTAAAATGCATATAGATAGATATAACTATTATTATAATATTTATCTATTTAAATTTTTTTAAATATAAAAGTGTAATATAATTTTTAGTTGGTTATTAATATATAATTGTTTATTGGCTAAAGTTAATCATTCAATCCATGTACTATTAAGTTTTATTTGAATTAATTTCTGCATCAATTTGTGATTAAATTAGTTCATATAATTTTTAAAAAAATTTGATATAATCCCTCTTCGTAGCCAACCACTACATTTACTAAGTTAGATATCATATGTCATAAATTTGAAACGTAACACTTTATAATTAGTTAGTATGTAAGTTAAATGTCACGTGATACTTGATATGATATTTAAAAAAATAAATATAAATAAGTCCAAATTAATTCACAAGTACAAAAAATAATTAACCGGATGTTTCTAATTCTCTCATATTTTATTATTTGAACAAAATAATTTTGCGAAAGAATGAGGTTTTATGGTTGAAAAATTAAGACTAAATATATAACTTATATTGTGTAACAGCTCCGGTAATTCAAAATGGAAATTATATTATAATATTAAATGCGGAAGCGAGATCAAAATTTCGGTTAACATCCCTTACACGGAAACCAAAAACGTACTTAATATATGAAAGATTAAACTAACTAAGAGAGAAACTCGAAAATAAAACTATGAGTATGACTACAGAGTCTCTAGGCATCCCCTTCGTCGTCCTCCTGCGGAACGGGCTCGGGAAACCATGTCTTCCTGATCTGAAATGGTTAAATAAGGAGTGAGCTACACTAGCCCAGTAAGAACATCACGATATCTCACCGTCACGGAGGTAAAGGTGGGTAGAAAAACACAAAAGACCAATGGAGCATGATTTGCAACAAATCCTTTTATGTATGATAAAACCTTTACCATCCACTTACCTCGGTGGAATTCATGAAACAATATAAGAAAACAATAACATTATCACAATCATGGAATAATATAAGCTGTAAAACATAGCACTTATCACGCCTTTTGTAATTCAATCATTATACAACATATCCTTTTCTCATTTACCAGCCTACTAGTATCCATGGGAGTCCATAGGGGTCCCGCTACCCGTTAACCTTTAACATTCATAATCAGTTTCCAGGGCCGTCCCCATACCCCGTCCGGTATGGGCGCCAAAACATAAACTCAATACCCCGTCCGGTATGAGGGTGAAACGGGCCGTCCATACCCCGTCCGGTATGGGCGCAAACATAAACTTCATACCCGTCCGG